TTCCTGAACAAGATAAAGTGAATGTGTATGAGAAGGAAACAGAGTATCTTTCGAGAAAGTAACTGTCTGGTTACTGTATTGTCTGGAATACTTGAAAGGAAGCTTAATTTTTTTAAGACTGTATTTTTTTTCCATAAGTTTTCATTTTTATTGTGCTGTTTGGTGTTAATCCTTTTCTTTCCAGGTTGTGTGTGGCTCAAAGTACATAGTAAGAGGAGAAAATGCCCGGGATCATGTGGACTTGTTGGTTTCCTCACGACACTGGCCTCCAGTGTATGTTGTTGATACAGCCTCTTCAGTGGCACTGTGTGCAGACGTCTGCTGTCCTGGCCTGACTTCCCAGATGTGGGGGAAAAACCAGGGCTGCTTCTCTGACCCCATGGATCCTCCAACGGTTAGTTATGTCCACCTTTGCACTCTGCTATGCCAGTCCGATATGGAAAAGTTTCAAGTGAGATTTAAAATAAAAAAAAAAAAATTGAAAAAAGTATATGTAACCTGCATTGTGCCTCGAGATAACTTGACCTGATAAGTGTCTCCTGACTCACAGCTTTGCCAGTGCAGAGCTTCTGAGCATAGGGGAAAGCGTTACGTGTTGCTTGGGGCATTGTATTAGGTTCATGCTCCTTAATAGAAGAGCTGTGCTGGAAGTGCATTGTAACAGTTCAAATCGTGAACTTTGGAGCATGTCGCTTATTTTGACACAGCAACTCAATTCTCTCAAACTATTGCTATTACGTGAGAAATGGGAGAGGAAGAGGGTTGCTAGTGCCTTGGGATTATCTCTGATTATACAAGTGAGGAGGGTGTGTACAGAACCACTTTGTGGCACTTAGGGGAAGCCTGAATCAGTTAGCCCTCCCTCTGTCCTGGGTCATAGTGCTGGTTGGAGTTCAGCCAAACAGTAGTTTTGTCTTGTTCTTAGCTGTGGGAAAGTTGCTTCTTGTTCTACCTGGTGCGTGTCTCTCTCTCTCCCAGTATGTGTCCTGCCCTGAACTCCTAGACCAGCACTACAGCGTAGATATGACTGTGGCTGAGCACTCTGTTCAGCACCCAATCACCAAGTCATCGGCACGCCGAATTGTTCACACGGGTTCGGAGCAGAACAGCCACCGAGATCCAACGGCTCGGCATCACTGCATCTCCCTGTGCCGAGAGCTGGAGCCTTACAGCGCCATCATCGCTGCTATCAACGACAGCAAAACTAGCAACATCCGCCAAAGGCCCATCACCTTCGAGAACGCCACGCACTATTACCTCTACAACCGCCTCATGGACTTCCTCACCAGCAGGGAAATTGTGAATCGGCAGATCCAGGAGATTGTACAGAGCTGCCAGCCTGGGGAGGTGGTAATTCGCGATGCTCTCTACCGGCTCGGAGTGGCCCAGATTAAAACAGAAACAGAAGAGGATGAAGAAGGGAAGCAGGGGGATGATAGAGGTTGCTGAGTAACAAAACAGTGTGTTGGTTTCTCTCTCTGGTGGTGTGGATGGGTGGGCTGGGCCAGCTTCTGCAAGGTTTGGGCAGCTGTCTGGCTTGAGAGGTTTTTTTACAGGTTGGAGATGTGATGCCGGTGGCTTTGACTGCTGTTAATGACCAAAGAGCTGTGTGCTTCCATAGTGTCATGATAGCTGTTGCGAGCATAGGTCTGTCACTCCCCTTGCTGAAAGCTGCAGCTGCCTCCCGAGGTGTGCGATGGACCCACTGTTCAGTGGTGCGAAATGTTGCCCTCCCTGCAGCTGGCCAGTGGAGAAGGGAGAGGCATTTCTGGTAGTGGGGAGTACGCGTGGTCAAGCGCACAGGTTTTTTAATTCTGAATCTTGCTTGCTGACTTCTTTGTGCATATCGGTGGCAGGGCTAGGGGTGTGGGAGCAGGCATGAAAGGCAGACAGCTAAGAAGATTTCCCCCAAAATGTTCTGAATAGATTAGTTTAGGACAATCCTCCTTGGAAATCTTGCAGAGCTTTCATATGCATTGGCTGCAAGGAGTCTTTAGTCGAGGAGGAGGAAGGGCCGTGCGGCTTTAACGTACCATATCTGGGGAGCTTCCCTGGAGGCTGCACTCCAGGATTGTGAGTGCTTCAGCTGCAGAAATTTTCTAGAATTGTTTGTCCCTTCACGTGAGCACTAATAATTTAGAAGCTGAAACATACAGAGAGTGACAAGTGTTCTGTATGCTAAGGTAAGAATTGACCGGGCAAGGCCCAGGGGAACCAAGCTCGTTGGAGGGCTGTATGAGTGCTGTGTAAGGTGGTGGCTGTGGAAACGGGGAGGACACTCAAAATTTCTGTGCTGTCCCCCTGCACACTTTTTTTTTTTTTTTAGCAGTTTCATTCTTTTCAAGGACTTGCATTTCTGTTGTCCTGCCCTCAGAACAGAATCACAAAGGCTGTCTGTGGGGTCAATAAGAAACGATGAATGCAGTGTCACCAGAGCGAGCAGGGTTCGGTATTCCACCCTCAGAGGAGGCGCTGGGAGAGCTGCATCCACGTGTGCAATCTCAGCCCTCTGTCAGGTGTCATATTTGCCCTGCCAGTGTCCACAGAGCGCTGCGTGGGTTAGAGAAGTCTGAAGCTGCCCAGGTTGCTTTATCAGCTCCTTGAGAGGAGTTGGGCTGAGACCTCTGCCCCTGCAGCATGGCTGAAGAACACCTGGGGCTGCGGCTGTAAAGCTACGCGCGTTGTCTGCCGCCGGCTCCCTTTTGCTATTGCTGGTGATGAAGGTGAAGGTGGGTGGATGCTTGGTGTGACCCGCAGAGGAGAGAAGCAGGATGCTAGACTGCTAAGCTGCCATCCAGGGAGTTTATTTTGTCTGAGTGAGCAGTGGGAAAGATTCAGAGGCTTGCGGTGTGATTGAAATCTCCCTTCTGTGAAGGGGAACCTATTGAGTACCGTACTGTTAAAGTAAATGTATTAAGTCTGAGCAAATGCAGTAATTATGGCTTGGGGTTTTTCTGTTAAGAACATTAACTTATTATAAGAGACATTAGTGACTTTTTTCAGTCAGTGATAAAGTTTAATAAATTATCTCCAATTTTTGGGGTGAAACTGTGGCCAAGTGACTTCTTTGTGTACAAGTCCTGGAGGACTGCAGTGGGAAGGGCACAAACACTGTGTGCACGTACACCACGATTCCAATCTGCACTGCCATGGTGGTGGGGAAAAGCCTGGTATTCTCAGAAGCCAGGTGTTCTGAGAGGAGCAGCTCAAGAAATTGCTTGGGCCACCTCACGAGAGTGTCAAATAAAATTATCCTGCTAAATATAGCTAAGGTACAGTTCTTGTAAGTGGCAAGAAAGTAGCTTCTGCAGATGGTCGACTCCCCTGGCCTACCTGCTCTTGTTCTGCAGTTCCCTGCACGGGGCAGCTCCTGAGGTGACTTTCATAGGAGAGCGTCTGCAGCAGTGACAGTAACTTCTCTTCAGGATGTGTTTAATTGCCTGGGCTGAAGCTCCAGCTGCACCTAAGCCATTGCTACAGGAGGTTCTGCTGCAGAAACTTGAGTCTCTGGTCAGCGGGGCCCTTCTGCCTCTGCCCTGCCCTCGGCATTGCACTGCCTTTCCCACGCAGAGTGGTGCCATACGCCTGTCTGAAACAGTGACTGTTGTCGGATGTCCCACTATCACAATTGAAATTACCCCCCCCATTACATCCATGCAGGGGGACTGCTTCATTTTTCCTAGTTACAGACAGGCCAGTCAGAGCAAAGTGCTTTAAAACCTTGCTTTTAATAAGTTTTTGCATTACACAAGATTGAATGGTTTTGAGAACTGGTAATGAGGAGTCTGAGGAATTGGAGCAGAGTTGCAGGGTGATTGGATGGGCCAGTGCATCACCCGTGCTCTGATCCGTTCCCCTCTGAGAACAGTCCTTAAAGCCCTGGAAGAGACTTGTTTTGTTAAACATCTTATTTTACTCTTTATAATGCTGACAGATAGAAATACATTAGCTTTTTATTTAGTAAGGAAGAATGAATCACTTGGTGTTAGCATAAAACCAGGTTTAATATAATGAGGTTTAATATAATGAGCTGTGAGCAGAATGACAAAGGCCACCTGCCATACAGTAGTTGTCTCGCTGTAGTTTGCCTGAGCCCTTTCAGTGCTTGTACCTGGAATACTGATCCTTCACCCACCGAGTCAGGTGATAGCTACACAGGACCGGGTGGCTGTGGCATTAGTAACCCTGAACAAGAGCTAGATAAGAAGTAAGTTTAAGGGCATTAGGCCGTAGCTTATGAAAAAAAATTACTTCAGCTGTACTATTAAAAAATACACTCAGGAAAATATGTACAAGAACATATTTGTAATCATGACAAAGGCAGTGATTGCTACATGTTTAATAATTCAGAAGTTTTGTAGGATATGTGTTGTTGATCATTTCCAGATCTGTTTAAGCTGCCATTCTTTCCTGGATTGGGATTGTGTTCAGTGCTCATGTGGAAGAGCACTGGTTACTTCTGTATTTTACCTGAGAAATAACCACCCCTCTGTCCTGTTACTGGGGCACTGGGGCACAAGTTCACATAACCCTGGGGTTGTGTCCTTGGCTCGCTTCACTCAAACACTCCCTGCAGAAGCATCAGCTGCAGAGAGGTAGATTGCATGAAGAAATGTAGAGGTTAATGCATATTTAATGCTAAGTAGAGGCTTTACCTATATCTAAACACTCACTCTGCAACATCCAGGGTCAGACTGACAAAGGGAAGAGAGCAGGACCACCAAGAAAGAGGGCTGCTTCTGGTGTGTGGAGCAGTTTCAGCTTCAGGACTTTGTTCAAGATGTGCTCATAAAACACAAGGGTTCAGTCATGTTAGTGACTTTTGGAAACGTCTCACTTGGCTGCAACTTGTATTTAAAAAAAACTACAAAACCCAAACACCACACAGCCACCACCGGTGGGTGGGGAGGCAGGTGACAGGGACCTCCTGTACCTTGTAGAGATGGAGCATGTTATCATCCTAACAGCTCGATGCTACACTTGAGATAAGACCTGAGGGACCCCATGGTGAGTCTTGGTTTTGAGTCACTCCAACGCTATCCTTTCAGTGAGGGAGTCGGTAACACTCATACTTCAGAAAGCACAGAGAGGAGAGCCAAAGCAGAAGGCATCTGTGTCCTAGGGCAGAGCAGAACCGTGCACTCTGCAGAGCCAGGAGGACAGGGATCTATCCCAGGGCAATGGTACCAGCTAACAGAACTGATAGTTGTTGCTCTTGAGAAGGGGCTGGCCGCTCTCCTCTTGCTCGCAGGACTCCTCACAGCAGCCAGAGGTATCGCAGCCACTGTCTTCCTCAGCAGTGGAGGGGAGGTTGGTGTAGTCCTTGAAAGCAAAAAAAAAACCCAAAACCCACCCCAAGTGTGTTTCAGTCTCTTCAATGGTGTACGACATCTGTTTCTGCGTGGATGACCACCTGGGGATGCTAACTCAACACTACCCTTTCCTGTGCCCACAGGGCAAGGCTAGCTGGCAGGTCAGGCATGCCCGTGCTTTTGTGGAGATGCAGGACAGCTAGTCACGAGGCAGCGCACCTTTTGTCCAGCTGCACACCAAACCCAGGGGAATGGGGCAGGGCTGCTGTGCTGGTAGTTGTATTGCTACCATAGAGGTTGCTGCAAAGCAGCTGTATTTCTTTGTCCAGCCTCCTTTGGTCATGGTGGGGAGTGACTTAACCCTTCAGCATGGGGAAATCTGGATGCCTCTCTGCACTTTCCACTAACACTAAACTGCTCCCATCAGTTAAAGGTAAGGGACATCACCAGGAAAGTCCAGGAGCTATGTTCATGTAGTGGGAAAGCACGCTTGCCTTCCCCCTTTTCCTCTCCAAACGTCCTCACCTGCTCCTTATGCACCTCCAGTTCTTTCTGAATGAAGCAGCCGATCTGGTCAAAGGTAGGTCTCTGTGTGGGCTCCAGGCTCCAGCATGCCTGCATGATGCTGTACCTGCAGAGCCAAACAGGGACAGGATGGTTGCACTGTGCTGCTGCAAAGCCGCTGCAGGGTCTGCACCCCCAGGCTCTTCCCTGCAGCACTTTGTATTTCAGGCACACAGTGCTGAGCAGTCCCTTGTCTTCCTGTCTATAAAACCCCTGGTCAGTGCACGTGCAGTGCTCCAGGGAAAGGTGAGCACAGACGTGGATAGAGCAACGTTCTTTAATCTGTTAACAAGGGACTTCATGCCTCCAGTACTTTTTTCTTTAAGCTTAAACTCATTCCCCTCCTGTAACCTACTCAGGCTTGTCTTCTCACAGTCCTAGGGTCAAAAGTAGCTGGCTGAAAAAAAAGAAAAATCCACCAAGTTCAGGAATGTAGACATACAACGTGAGCTCTCCCATCTTCCTGTCCATAAACAGGGGAAATATTGGATGGAGCATCATAACTGACTCCTACAGGAGCAAGGAGCAGCCTGGTGGGATCTAACCTGAACCTCAAGGGCAGACACACCTGGGAGCAGCAGGCAGACCTGTGAGCAAGGTCCCTGTGCCATCTCCCTGCCTGCCCCCCATGAAGTGGCTCCAGCCACTCTGTCACCCATTGTGTGCATCTCAGTGCATCCACTCACATTTCCAAGGGAGCGAAGTCGGGCCTGGCCATCTGATATCCCTGCTTCACCAAGCTATAGAACTTGCTGTTCACCACCATGCCGGGATATGGACTTTTACCTGTGACAGTAACAGGAGCAGAGGTGGCTCTCAGATCAGAGGCTTTAACACTCCAGCCTTGTGGGGTGAGAAGAGGCAGCCTGGAGCATCGTCTGAGCCAGTGCTACTCATTCTCAGGGAGTTTTGAGTTAGAGCAAATCATCCAGGATCCATCATTTTTGATGGTCCCTCTGGAAGCATAACACAGTGTTTTATAGCCCTGATAAAAACCTAGATTTTTGTCAACCTTCCTCCTTTCTTGGAAACTTTTCTGCAGAGACATTAGGGCAGTAGTAAGCCATGGAAAACAAAAGAGGTTTACAAGCTTGCTTCTTTCTTACCAAGGGAGAAGATCTCCCAGAGAAGGATGCCGTAAGACCACACATCACTCTGCACTGTGTAAATGCAGTCAAAGATACTCTCTGGGGCCATCCATTTCACGGGCAGTCGGGCCTGGAAGAGCAAAGAGTCCTGCAGACTGGGACAAGCTGGCAGCTTACACTACACCGTTCTTCGTGCTCCAGCCGCACCCTACCCTTGTACCATCTCTTGTCCCCATTTTAATTACTTACATTGCCTTTTACAACATAGTTTGAGTCATTCATGATATCACGGGCCAGGCCGAAGTCACAGATCTTGGCTACTCGTCCATCTGATACGAGCACATTCCTGGCTGCTAAGTCACGGTGGATGCACTGGGGAGACGAGAGTGCAACTGAGACCCAGCCAACATCCTCCAGCAGTCCCAGCTAATTCCCTACAGCCCAGCCCTGTCACCAAAACAACACTTATAGGGGCAAGGGAAACACGTACGGCTTGAAAAGCCCCTGTAAGAGGCACTGTGTTGTGTACAAGGAGTAGGGGCTCTCTTTCAACCACTTCATTTGCAGTGCTAAGACATGGTGCCATTTCATGCCATGCCCTTAATCACTCATGGGGCCATTGTCTTCCCCATGGGAGGAGGCTTAGAGCCAGGGGCTGTTGACACTGTGCCCTCATCTCTGAAACAGTCATACGGTTACTCTCTGATACTCTAAATGAGCCAGCTCTGGCAGACAGCTCAACAGCCACTTTCAGTTCCTTGTCCCTTGGGCAGTGGGGAAGCTGCCAATGCGAGAAAGCTTCACATCAAAGTTCCTAACTTCGTGTAAAAGCTGGAGAGAAAATGTTGAGACTAACACGATGCACAGCCCTGGGTTCCCCCCTGTAACACTGCCCTGCTGTGATGGCCTGCCTGGAGCCCATGGGAGACAAAGGCTCTGAAGGGAACACTAGTCACTGTGGCCCAGCATGTCTGAACCCAACAAATGGAGCAGAGAGGCCCATTTCCAGCAGCAGCTTGCTTGAGCTTGGCCACCCCATCCAAAAACATCCCGAGCCTAGTGCAGACGGGATGGCTGGTGCCTGCTGGCTGGACTAGTGTTTCCCAGCTGGGGTGCTGGGGACAGTCGTCCTTTTGGCACTCACGTTCTTTGATGCGAGGAATGCCATGCCCTGGGCCACTTGGCTGGAGAACTGTAGCAGGTCAGAAAGATTGAGGGGACGGAGATCTTCCCTGGTTTCATCTTCTTTCTCTGAGATTCTCCCTGAAATTCAAAGCGAAGTTTTAGAGTTGCTGCAAACCTGGTAAATAATGCAAGCTATGCTGTATCCTGGTTTTCTGGGGCTAAATCAGACAGGATCGCCAGAATAAAGAAATCATAAAAACACAGGAATGAACCTTTAACTCACCCCTGGCTTGCGCAGAATCTGATGACACTGAAGATGATGATGATGATGACACAGGCCTCATTTCAACATATGTTTCCAAACCCTGGCTCGAAAAGCCGCTGTCACTGAGTCAGAAGCAACAGGGATGGAGGCAGGCTGTTAGCAATCCCCCAGCAGTACCTTCTGCCCTTCTCCACATCCACTGAGAGAAGAAACCACATCCCTGCCTGCAGGAAGTGGCTTAACTAGAGGCTTAAGGGCAAAGGGAAAGTCAACATTGAGGCTGATTCAGAAAGGGGACCTAGGTGCCCAGAGGTATGGGGCTGTAAGTACTGCTCCCTTTTTGTCAAGGGACTGCCCTTGGCTGTTGGGGAGTGCTCAGCCTCTTGTCCTACAAAACCCACGTGCCCAATAGAGCAGGAAGCCAAAAAGTTCTGCTTCCAGATTGTGGGAGGGCAGACTGGATTGAAACCTGGATTTATTGTGGGATATTCAATGACTTCTGTCAAAGACTTTGAAAAACTTGGAACTGTAACCAAGTCTAAACATAAGCAACCCCAGTGGCTTTTACGTTCTGGTATTCTGCAAGTCCCCAGACCTTTGTCCTTAATCTCTCCCCAGCACAGCCCTCTGCACACTTCTCCCAGCAAGTACCCAGGCCCTGCATTGCTCAGCCCTCTGGCCACCACAGCTCTGCTTTTACCTGCGGATGTATTTCTTTTCTAGGTCAACGTTTTTGTAATCAGCAGCGCTGTCTAAAGAGGTGTCCAGCGCAGAATCCTGGATAATTATGGATTCAGCCTTCTTCCGCAGGAAATTCAGCAGATCTCCGTAGCGACAGTACTCGGTGATCACAAGGATTGGGCCTGGGAGAGAGGCAGAAAGGGTTGATTAAGAAGTGATGTTACTGTGACCTGTCCTGAGGATTGCTTTCCCTGGGAGGGGCAGCAGAACCCACACTGCACATAAGCATGTCCAGAAATGGCCAGCCCACAGGCCCTTGTGAAGTTATAGGTTCAAAAAAGGCCACCGAGCTCATTAGCTATCTCTGTTGTGAGACTGAGGAGAGGCAACAGCCTCAGAGGAGCAGGCCGTGGGAGGGGTCCATGGGGGAAGCAGGGCTGTGGGATCCTACCTCCATAGGTACATGCTCCCAGCAGGTTAACAATGTTCTCGTGGTGTCCCAAGTGACTCATGATCTTCAGCTCAGACATGAGAGCCTCCTGCTCATCTGTGTCTGCTGATGCTGCCAGACAAGAGGAAAAGGGCTGTGTGAAGGATTGAGGGAGGGACAAGGAAGAGGTGATGGGGGAGGACAGAAAAAGGTGTAGACAGAGAGACGGAACAAAAGGAGGAGACACACTCAGAGAGGAAATTGTGTCCTCTGTCTGTGCCTCTGGCCATGTGCGTCCACAAAAATGACAGTAGCACGATTCCAACACCAGTACTTATCACAGAAACATCTAAAAAAGTAGATGTTGCAGCTTGGGAGCACCAACACATGTGGTGAACGCACACTACATCCTGCCCAAAAGGAGCTTGGGGGATTTCAGCCTTTGCAGGTTGCTCTGGACTTACACTTTAGCATCTTCACAGCCACTTTGAGGACCGAATCTTCTTTGCCCAGCCCAAAAGCGGTGGCTTCTACCACTTTTCCAAAGGCTCCTGCTCCAAGAGTTTTTCCTGCAGAGGGAAAAAAAAATGTGCTTATAAGATGCTTTATAGAAAGAGATTGAGCAGTTGTCCTGCACGCAGCCTTGAGGAGGATGTCTGGTGGATGGGGAATCCTGCTGAGCCCAGACAAGATGACACATCCCTTAGTCAAGAGCTGGTTAACATCTGAGGGGAACTCTACTGCGGGCAAAGATGATATGAAAGAGGCCATGTCCAAACATGGGCTCACCAGCTCTATGCATTAGGAATGACCCCAGATGCAAGAGGAGGGACATGATCCTCTCAACCGTCCTTGGAGCAATGGAGGGCTGGAGGGAGGTTGTACCCTAGCATTTGCCACCCTGTGTGGAAGAGGGCAGCAAGGCCTGGTTGAGGATGTTGCTGTAATGTCTGGATGCAGCTTTGGATGTTGTCCAGTTGCTTTGGCTCTGTGCCTTGGAGCATTTCAACTCTGTGGTGAGCTGCATGCCATCAGGCAAGCAGCAAGGAAGGTTTCTTACCAAACTGGAGGTTATTCCTGGGAAACTCCCATTTTTCATTGTATGGCAGTTGAGTGGGATCAATAAAGATGTAGTTATTCCCTTCACAGGCCTCAATGATCTTCCACCGCACCTGGTACTTGGGTTTCTATAAGGAAGAGACTCCAGTTATTCAATGTTCCTCAAGTCCTGAGGGTTCCCCAGTGCCAGCATGCACTCTAGCTCTCACCCTGCAGGCATAGAGGGAAGACTTAGGTTTCAACCCACCAAATATTTCTTGCTTTGAACCTGGACTGAGTGAGAGAGGCTTTGTCTGGACAGCCTGGTCCTTTTGCTGTTACAAAGTCCCCCCAAGTCGTCACCCATGACTGAGGGAGGCTCTCTTGCCTCTTCCGCTTAAAATAGCCCGTTGCCCTCACTTGAGATGGCAAAGCTGGGAGAGCCAGCATGTCCCACCAGACCAGGGACTGAGCCATGCTGTGTCTCCTTCCCTGGTACCCTGGGTTGCTGAGCACAGCAGAACGGTGGAGCTGGCCCAGCCCTGCTTCCCTTACAGGGGAAAAAAAGAAATGGAGAAAGAGAAGTAAGAATTTCTTCTCTTTTCCACAAATCTCACGGCAGAAGTAACCAGGCAAGGACAGAGAGAAGCAGTGCTAGAGCCCGTGGGCAGAGGCAGTTGCCAGCTTGTGCTGGGTGTTGTCATTCATGTTGGGAGGGCTAGGGAGCCAGGCTGGAGGCACAAATACAGAGAAAGACAGTGAAATAGCTTGGCATGAGAATACTGCATGCGGCCTTTGCTCCTGTACAAGGAGACAGGCAAGGACCTGCAATGAGAGTGGCAAAGGTGGTCTCAGGCCCATCAAGACAGACACAGGGAAACATGGGTGGAGTGACCATGGCTGTGATGAGTCACCTCATGTCCCAGCTACTGGGAGGTGTGTGCTGAAGTGCTATCCTCACCACTTCCCCTGGATAGTTGCCGAGAAGGATGCAGAGTATGGTAGGTGCTCAAAGCCAGGTTAGCATAGGCATGAGGGACCATAACTGAGGCAAACAGATCTGCAGTTTTGATGCAAAGCATCTCTTTGTTTTCTGCCCCACACTGCTTCTCTTTTCTTTGCCTGAGAGTTGAACATCCATGCCCATGCAGGCTGTTGAAAAAGGCCCAGACAGGATGCTCCAAGCAGCACAGTTTCTAGTGGAGTTCCCTCATAAAGAATGCCACATGCACTCAGTTTATTTGCTGTTGCCTGCTCCCAGAGGTTGAGCATTGCTGCTTTCTGCTCCACGATTCACCTAGCACTGCAGCAATCAGCCATGGCTCAAGAAGCCCATGGCTGAGATAGATAAGATTATTTATAAACACATCCTGCTTCTCTTGGGTTTGCAAGGCCTTCCTAAAAGCTGTTTCTTCAGAGCTGTGCTTACATAGCCATCCACCTCTCTCTCTCTGTGTCTCTGGACTACCGGCCAAAGACAGCTCTGCCTGCAAAGCTGTAGGCGCTTGTTTGGGAGAGGGCTGTGCTGGGTCTTCTGACAACCAGCACCAGAACTTTGCTGCAAAATTTAAAGCCTTGATAGGCTGTCAAAGGAAGAGTGCCAAAAGGGAGAGCTGAAAAACAGGGGATTTTCACCCACTGATGAAGCAGAGCTGGCTATTGATTGGTACAGTTTAAGGAAACAACCCAGAAGGAATCCAAATACTGAAAATGAGTCCTGCAGAGAAAATGGGGCAAGTTCTTGTATAAAAATAGTGACCAAGTCTTCCTGGAGACAAATGCCTTCTAACGTCATCCTGTTTCCCCATAAAGACAGCTTTTTATAAAGCAGGGAGGAGAATAAAAAGTAGATGAGAGTTGCAAACCACTTTTTTTTTTCTTCCTTAATTCACTCTGTGGATTCATGGTGACCAGGGCAAAATCAGCTGCAACGGACAGCATGGAGTGAGCACCTTTGGCACCAAGAAACTGATTGACCTCTGGGCTACGAGACTGAGGCACCAGGGTAGGAGAGGTGTTAACACACTGGGTTTGGTGCACAACTCTTGCCCTGCAGCAGGAAACTCCTGGGGAAAGTTGGGAGGCAGTGGAGATGAGGGAGGTAGCTTGCCTGGTACCTGCAAGCTGAATGCTCCCTGCCTGTGGCTGCCAGCAGAGGCAGTGTGGTCTCTGAGGCTGGGCAGGCCTTGCAGCCCTTGCTATGCAACAGGGAATCTGACCTGGTTGTACTTGTAGAGGAGGAAGAGGAGTAGGAGGAGCAGCAGGACCGACGTCCCTATGCAGGTGGAGAGAATGGGGCTGAAGAGCTTGTTTGGGGGGGCCATGACATTTCCTGGAGGAGCAAAAGAATGGGGATGAGTAAAACACACCTGTTTCAATCCCATCTCTGGGAGCATTTTGCCCAGCTGTTCACTTAGGCTTCCCCTGTATGCAACACAACCAAGCACTGGCCTCAGAGACACCCAAAAGAGCTGCTGGAAACTGAGGGAAGTTCTTGATATCAAACTCAAGGCTGCAATGGTTCCCCCTACGCACCCCAATTTCTACACAAAGAGCACCAGCTGCAGGTCAGACTGACTGGGGAGCAAGATCTGTGCATCAAGAACAGGCCCATCAAAAGATGCAACCCTTGGACTCCAGTGGGCTGAGCAACAGCAGTTGCAGTTATAAGGTGTTCATGGCATGGCTCAGCCTTTGGCACCAGGCTATGCCCAGCCAGCAATTCCCACATGGCTCCTAGGACTGGCAAATGCCAAAGCATCCCACCTCCTGTGAAGACAGAGGGCTTGTGGAATCTATTCCACCTCTCTTGCAAGACAGTAGGGATATACGTATAGGAAGATGGGCCCCCAAAAGCCCCCAAATCCTCCCCCACTCTGCCATGCTACCAGTTTGTATCTTACTGGTGATGGTGAGTGAGTGAAACATGTCAGAAGCGTTCCCCTCTCTGTTAATGGCCACACAGCAGAAGGTGAAATTGGGACCCAGCTCCTGGAACGGGACAACGCTCTCCACCTCCACTTCTTGGAAGGGCAACATGTTCACCACCTGGGGACTGGAGTTGTTCAGTAGCAACCTGTAGTCCTCATTGTATCTGCAGAGATACCAAGCAGGAGAGAATGAGTGTTCCTCTGCAGCACGGTTGCTCATAAGTGAAGTGATGCCTGTATCAGGAGACAATAGGAATTAGGGTTGCAGCTCTATGAGACATGTTTTACTCGCTGCCCGGTTAAAAGACCTTTCCCTGAACATCAAAGCCCTGTATAGACAGAGTCTTAACTGCCTTTATGTGGCTAGAGCTGTGGCAGCAGTTCCGTCCTTGAACGGGGCTGGTACTGAGACACAACCAGCCCTGTCCAGGCAGCTACAGTTGCCTCCCATCACACTGTAGCTCAGTAAGACTGTGCTCTGCGGAGCCTCAGACCTGTGGAGGTCCTAGAAAGATTATTAGGACCAGCCAGGATGTAGCTCTACAGCAACCTACGCCAGGGCACTTCTCCAAGGGACCCACATGTTCCTCAGAAAAGCATTGGGAGAACATGAGTCACAGGTGGTTGAACTCTTCAAGCTCAAGACTTCAGGAATAGTACCTGCCCCCTCTCCTCAGACAGTCCCCAAGAGCTTCTTTTTTTAGCAGGGCAACACCCCTGTTGCTGTTACTGAACAGGCTCTGCTATATTGCCTGTAAGCAAGCTCACGTGGTGCTGCTCAGCAAATGCCAGCATAGCAAGGGCAAGTGCACACCTTGGAGGTGCTCAGTCTCCTGGGTATTTCTTACCTGTCAGAGTGAATGGGGCACTGGTACCACTCAATGCGTGGGGCAGGGTAGCCGATGGCCATGCACTGAAGAATGCTGGAGTCATTGGCTGGCACCTTGATTTTGCAGACCCTTGGAGGAGCTGTTGGGGAAGGCAGATAAACAATGAATGCTATGACCAGAGGAAGAGCACATTCCCTGTGCTCTGATTTACTTTCCATGTGTGTGACAATAAAACACCAGAAATCCCTGTGCTACGCATCGGTTTGGGCTGGGTCCCAGATGCAGTCTGGCTGTGTGTCCTGTGGGCACTGGGCTGGAAGCACCCTGGTACCTCAGCCTACTTGCTGCCAGCTGGGCAGCAGCCCCAGGGCAAGCAGGGTGAAAGAACGGGCAATGCCAAGCACTTACATTTCACAGAGATGCTGAAGGTAACTGATGCATTGGTCTCATTGTTGAGGGCATAAAATGTATAGAGACCTCCCTCTCCGTCCTGCAGGCGGGTCAGGCAGGGGGTGTT